TACAAGTTGTGTTCATCATGGTTGATAGGTCAAAAAGGGAAAGGAGGGTTGAAGACCTCTTTTGAAACTTTTTTATGGTTCAATGTACATTAACAAAGTTGCTAGGATTGGTATCTAGCCAAGTCAAGTGTGAATTGAGCTTAAATTCAAGAAAATCCAAAATTTGAAGGTGCAAGCTATAAAGCCCATTGTCACAACTATAGTACCCTCACATCAATTCCTAGAGAACTTTAATAGTAACTCATGGTTTGATAGCACTCATGAAGCTCCCTTAACAGCATGCCTTGCAGCAGGTGATAAGCCTCTCAAAACAGTCCACCTATCAATTCATAGCCTAAATAAAATGCAACTAAATCCCATTTTGACGGCATACTCACAAATCAGTTAAGCCATTTCTTAAGTTTTATCAGTTCAAAATTTGCCATTCTTTAGCTAAATTCAAGCTGTTCAAAGCACTCTCATGCTCCAATCTATACAATTTTACAAAAATCCACCATGATAATAGCCTTGCAATACTAAACAGCCCATTCCAGTCCTCAATTCAGTCCCAAAAATCAAATCAATGTTGTAGATTAGAGTTTAGAACACAAGTCAAGTAGCAGCAACCCAATAGAAGACCAAATACACAACAATTTCTAGCTTGCTACTATGTTACAAGAAAATTCATAAGTGGAGCTACAAAATTCGAATTAGGATGATTCAAGATGTTTTGGACAACCAAAAGGATTTTCTACAATTATCATGTTTTGACCCTAGTCCAATTAAGTCCAAAAACCCCTTAAGCTTGAGCCAAACATTTATAGTATATTTCCAACACTAACAAATTTTCAATAACAGTAGTTTGGAGAAACAAATTAATATGTTTAGCTATAGAATTCATATTGAGCTAATTTAGGAATCTTTGGAAAGTTAAGAAAATGTTCTACAACTTTCATGTTTTCATCAAGGCTTAATTCTGCCTAGGAAGCACTAAAAATTACGGTGAACAGTTGCAATAATTTAGTGGTATAGTAATTTTTGCAATTCTTTGGTAACAGCGTGTTAGAAGAAACAAAATTTTAACTTGAGTTATAAAATTCTAATTGGGCTCATTTTAGAAATATTTGAAAGTTAAAGAAAAGAGTTATAATTTTTATGTTTGGGCCTCAGTTTAATTTAGCTTGCAAAATGCCTAGAATTTAGATAAAGGCAAGCACACCTGTAGATTCCTGAAGTACAGAATACAACATCCACTTCTATGTAATTGCATATTAGAATACTCCAATACAAGCCTATTTTGTCAAGTCATTAGAAATCAATTTACAGAGCCCAAAACACTTTATCCAATTTACTCAATAGCTCTGTTGTAGACCTTGGCTCAACTCAATTTAGTTTATACACAAAGAAGATCTATGGATTTAACCTGAATTATTTCAAAAGAGCCAAGTTTTTCAGAATTGTAAGCCTATATCAAAACCCAAAGCCAAATCTAACAGGGCTAGGGAAACTTTGGAAGCTGGTAGTCTATGGTTAAGGGTCAATTTTGGATCACAAGTTGAGCTTATTAGGCAAAAGATAAATTTAGCCCAAATCTATTAATTTAAATGAGAGGCCCATTGTATCAATTGCTCTCCATCTATTTGTTAGAGCAATTATGACTAGAGTGGGAGTTTGAAAATAAGACCTAATTTTGTTATAAAACAGACTTAATACATAATAACCGAGGGAGTTGGGAGATGGAGAGAAATTCTCAAAAAACCTAAGGAGGCAATGACTCTTTTGAAAGATTGGAGGCTCGAAGAAGTATAGAAGAACTCAAGAAAAATCAAAAAATCTGCATTCATGCACAAACTCTAAACTTCTCAAACTTGTTTTCTAATTTCATTTTTCTTCTTTTCTTTTGTTTTCTTTTTTGTTTTCCTTTTTGTTCTTAGAATCTAAATTCATGATGTTAGGAAATTTAATCCTTCATTTTAATTTCAGCGTTATGGGGTAATTCTTTTTGTTAGGGATGATGTAATTGAACTGTTTGACTATATTTTTGTTGATGAATTTTTTTAAATAAATTTGAAAATTTCAATTTAATTTGCAATGGAGAAATTCAAATTAAATTAGAATTTCTAGGTTCATTAAATTTTTTTTTAGTGTAATTATTTACTGGATTTTCTTAATGCTTTCTAAAATCATGGAAATTACAAATTATGGATTAACTATTTCATGGATTTAAAACTTTTCAAAATGTTCTTGCAGTAACCTAACAGTTTTGAAGTCAAACTAGTCTACGGTGCAAGTTAAAGGAAATTCTTTCTGGATTAATTTATAAGATCAGATTAGGTTAATTGGACATGAGGCCTAATCGTAAAGAATTCCATCATTCTTAATACTCTTGAGACTAATTAAGGGATAAATGACTTAGGTATAGGCTATTTGAATTTATTTAGTTTTAAGATAGTTAATTTGATTTGAATATAAATGGATTAATTTTTTTAAGAGAAATTTCTACCTTCACTTGGAAATTGATTTTGGAAAATTTATCATGATAATTACAATTAATTTGGTTGAGATAAAATTATTCTCTAACATCTGTTGTCATTGTTAAATTATATCAGTGGCTGCATTATTATTGTTTTCATTGCTTTCAAGTAATTTTAGTTTAATTTTGTTAGTGGTAGATTTTAGTTAATAAATTAAAAGAAATCTGAATTTTTCTCAATTAATTCTTTGATTAAGTTGAAATTTGCTTTAAATATGAAATCAATTCTCATGAGAATGATACTTCACTCTTTACTTTATTACTGGGAATGATTAGTGCATTTGCTAATAAGTTAAAATTGCATCATTTTCACAATTGCACCAACTAAAAGATGTGATGGAGGGATTCACAGCCAAACAATGGGAAGAACAGACAGTGGCTAGATGCAAGGAAAAAGAGGCATGGTGTGAAAAATATAAGGATAAAATTGTTATTTTAAAATTATGAGACATATTTTTGTTTGAAAATATTTCTTCTCTTAATGGCCACTAAAAACATAAAATAGAAAATCAATTTTTTTTCCCTTAATAGCTACTAAAAACATAAAATAGAAAATCAAATTTTTTCTACTTTTACTTTTTTATTATTAAGTTTATGCAAAAATTTATTTTTAACCAAAAATACTTTTCAATTTCTTTTTGAAAACCCATCTAAACAGCCTTTAAGTCACGTGCATGGAGTGGGTTAAGGTCAATTCTATTAAAAAATAAGATAAAAAATACTCACTTTTCTTTAAATTTATTTGAATAACATTTACTTCCATTTTTATTATGATAAAACACTTTCTCCTTTTAATTAATTACTAGCTAATAATTGTGTAATAATTTTGTTAAAAAAGAGTGAATGGTAATTTAATTTCACATAATTTAATTATCAATTTAATTAAAAATTTTAATATTATTTGATGCACTTATTTTTGAATTTCTTATTTTAAATTTTTTTTAAAAATAAATTTCTAACTTTGATATTTTTAAAATAATTTTTATTTTATTATTTTTTAGTTTTATGTTAAATATTAAAATAAGAATGAATTGAGGGTAATTTGAATTAAAACGGTTTAGGGTTATTTAAACTAAAAAATTAAAATATCATAAAATAAAATGTTAAAAATTTTAAAAATAGTAAAATTATGTTTTTGAAAAATTAAGTTTTTTATTACTTAAATTTATAAGTGAAATAAATGATATTTTAATTTTTAAGTGAAATAAATAATATTTAATCAAATTGATAAATTAAATAAGTAAGATTGAGTTATATTTATTTTTTTAATAAAATTATTAAATAATTATTATTTAATAATTATTAAAAAATATTTTTTATAATAAAAATTAGGTTAAAATTAAATATTATTTAAATAAATTTAGAGGAGGAAAATATTTATAATCCTTGAACATTATTCAGTGGATTGATCAATGATAGACTTAATTTTGGTTTTGGATTTTTCCAGACCGGTTTCGTTCCCAAAGCCAAAGGCTTCCAACCTAACCAAAGCCGACTCTGAAAGCGCTGTTGCCTAATTGTGAATTGCTGCAGGCTTCACCTTCTTACATTGTTCTCCCGATTATGCTGCCGGACTTGCTTGGACCTAATTGGTGGTACATGTATTGGGTAACGTCAAGCTAAAGGGGAGATCCTGATGATCTTTGACCAGAAATAGTCAATTAGAGTGTTCAAATATTAAACAAGAGCCCTAATTTTTCTGTACCTAACATCGTACCAGAACAAGCTTGAGTAGGAGAAAGCCATCCATTGAATATTGATCACTTGAGAATCTTTGGTTGCATCGCATATACATATGTTCCAGATCAGAAAAGGAAAAAGCTGGGTGACAAAAGTAAAACTTGTGTCTTTCTTTGTAGTGATAAGTGAACCTTCTAAGGCTTAGAAACTCTATAATTCACTTACGACGAATGTTGTGATCAGTAGTAACCTTATCTTTGGTACAGGTAACACTTGGAACTGGAGTGATGATGACTCAAGGTAGCAGCCTGTACAAGTCTTTGCTACCAGTCCATTTTCCTTGTAAGTGGGGTGCTGAACATGCTGTATATGGAGACGCATACTGGTCGATAGTGGGATTGTATATAGTAAGTTGCTTTCTCATTATTTTTTCTTTTCCTTAGTTTGATTTACGAAGTATTGGAAATGATGTAAGGAAATGGGTTTTGCTGACAATTAACTACGTGCTGGGGTTGAATTCATCCTGGTATGCGCAGGTGAAATTGTTGATTGCAATGTAAAATGGATAGCAGGCGACCTGAAAGAGAAGAAGGAAGTTTTGTTTGTCTATAAGCAAAAAGAACATCAATCGGGGTTGAGTTGTTCTGTTTAAATTGATTTAGTTATTTTCTCAAGCAGTTGATGCTCAGGATGCTTATTTTTAACTGTTTATTTATTTTTTGGGGAAAAATGGTCCCCTGAGTTAATGAAGGAGTTCAATTTGGAAAATTGAATGATGTGGGGATATTTCAGAAGAAGATTGCCTTTAATGTTTTTCTCTGGTACTCCTCATGATTATCTCAGTTCAGAATGTTTTAAGAAAACCCAGTTTCAGTTCCATTCTGCTATTTCCACTTCGTTCAACTTGAGCCCTTTTAACACTACAAGAAATGTTGTTAGGTCCTTGAGATGTCCAGGTCCCACAATCTTTCCCTTGTATATTTCCTCGTTGACTTTCAAAAATCCAAGTTTTTCCAGAATTGGAGCAGACAAGTACCAAGAAAGCAGTGTTGATGACAACAGCGAGACTAGTGAAGTTGAGCATGATGATGATGACGACCTAGATAAGCCTTATTGTGTCAAAGATGAGACTCTTTCCGAGGATGTAATAGCTATTTTGGGTATTTTACAGGAACCTAGAAGGAGCATATCTCAAGTGAAAAACAAGCTTCAGGATTGTAGCATCAATGCCTCATCGCAGTTGGTTGTAGAGGTCCTTTCTAGAGTGCGTCATGACTGGGAAGCTGCATTCACTTTCTTTATCTGGGCTGCAAAGCAGCCAGGCTATGCATATTCTTTGCGTGAATACCACTCAATGATCTCTATCCTTGCAAAAATGAGAAAGTTTGACACAGCGTGGGCTTTGATCAATGAAATGAGGCACAGCAGGACTGGTCAATCTCTTGTGACTCCTAAGACTCTATTGATCATGATTAGGAGATATTGTGCTGCACATGAGGTGGGGAAGGCAATAAACACTTTTTATGCTCATAAACTTTTTGAATTTGATGTAGGGATGGAGGAATTCCATATTCTTCTTTCGGCTCTCTGTCGGTACAAAAATGTGAGAGATGCTGAGCATCTGCTCTTCTGCAATGAAAATGTTTTTCCATTTAATACAAAGAGCTTTAACATTATCCTGAATGGATGGTGTAATATCATAGGTTGTCCTCGTGAGGCCAAGAGAATTTGGAGGGAGATGTATGAAAGAGGAATTGCATATGACGTTATATCATACTCAAGTATTATTTCTTGCTTCTCAAAGACCAGGAACCTCAAGGAGGTGCTTAAACTCTTCAATCAGATGAAGCATCATGATATTGCTCCCGATAGGAAAGTTTATAATGCAGTCATTCATGCACTTGCTAAAGGAAGGCGTGTGAAGGAGGCTCGATTTCTCTTGCAGAAAATGGAGGAAGACGGTATTTCTCCAAATTCTGTTACTTATAATTCATTGATCAAGCCATTATGCAGAGCCCATCAATTAGATGATGCCCAAGAGGTCTTCCATGAGATGTTGCAACGTGGGCTGTCCCCTACCGTTTGGACTTACCATGCCTTCTTTCGCATCCTAAGATCAGGGGAACAAGTGTTTACACTCTTGGAGAAGATGAATATGATGGGCTGCCTTCCCAGTGCTGAAACTTACACCATGTTGATTAGAAAGTTCTGTCGCTGGCACCAGCATGATGATGCCCTCAGGCTGTGGAATGAGCTGAGCAGAACTGGTGGTCCTGACCGAAGCTCGTATATAGCTTTGATACATGGACTGTTTCTGAATGGAAAGTTGGAGGAAGCATATAAATATAATGAAGATATGAAACAAAAACATTATTTGCCGGAGCCCCACTTAGATAAATATCTGCAGACCTGGGTCTTAGGTAAACAAATTAAAAATGTCAGTAATGGGTCCTGATGATAGCCGGCTTGGTTCAGTGGTCAGGCAACTATCCAGCCCAGAAGGTTCAATAAGGAAAGAGATTGCATCCAACAGCTGGAAACCAGAATGGTGTTCTGAGGGTCAGCCTTTTCTCTATGGGAGCAATAGCTTTTCAACATGACTGTAAATGGAATGGCCATGCAACAATTTTCACTTTGATAACTTCATGCAGATGCATGAGATCTTGTTCATTTATATTTTCAAATATGCATTTCAAGTTTACATATGATATTCTTTAAACTAATCCATGAACATTTCTTGAATTTTGACAATTGATCCTATACCATTACATGACCATGGCTTGAGCTCCATTTATCCTGTCTCCCATACTAATTGATGAATCTATTTCTTTAGATTGCTAAAGAAATTAACTGAGATATTGTCTCTGTTGGATGTTCTATGACTATATTGTCAAATTTGTTATCAGTTACATTTTCTGGTGATCATTGTATTATTGTAAAGAGTAGAAGCACATGTCTGAGCGCATGCATTTTTACAAGCATAGAATTGCTAATTGAGCATTGCGGTCATGCTATTTTTCTATCTCCTGTCTTGTGATGCTGTGAGCAGATGTTCTTGTATTTATTCCTATTATAGAGCTTGAAATATACTCTTACTGCTTGCAGATTTTTGATTTCCAACCTTAGGTTTTTGGATGGTTGCACTGATTTGCATGGTTTGATGCGAATGAATTGCCTCTTTATTTTTTAGATGCTGTTAGCATAGCTATAGACCATAACAGGATTCATAGTTTGATTGTTAAAGTATTATTACTTCTCAAACTGCAACATTGGGCTCTCTTGAAGCTAAGATTTATTGTCTCTATCATTCCTTCCTTTGATTTCTTGTAACTGTGTTGAAGGATAAAACAGGTAATCAGTTGGTATCATAGTAGAGAGGTCAAATGCATGTCATGTGGAGCATTCCATATTATGCTTAGCTATTTTCAGAGATACATTCAGGCATATTTTTCTCAAAAAGATCTGAAATCTTTTTTCGTTTTCTTTTTTTTTTCCCTTGTAATATTGCTCCCAGGAGCCAAAGCATTTCTAATACTGCGAATAATAATTTTGGATATCTCAAGTCTAGCTTGCAATTTTAGTAGGTCCTTGTCATATGTTTGATATGTTCCCTTGAGCTTGAGCATAACCTTCTCTGTTTTCCACAAACTCAACCATTTCGAGGATGAACTAAGAAGGCATGAATTATTTTTTCCCTTGGATTACTTGAGCTGTTGTATTTCAGCCATTTATTTTAGGAATTGGCCAAGAAATCATTTTGCTTAGTGAAGGAAAGTGAAGAGTGCTGAAGACAGAATTATAATTTGGGTTGAGAGGATCTCATAAATTAGGATGTTTCTGAATGTAACTTGACTAGAATAAACTCTATCCAACTATGTGGGAACAACTACACCACCCTATGTGTACTTCACTCTGTTGAAGTGAGAGCTTCAAGCAGAAAAAAATTTATTTTCTATCTTAATCTAAGTTAATTTTGGTTTCCCTCATTGGTATTTTGCAGATAATATCAGTCTTCCTCTCTAGAGCACATATAGATTTTCGTTATATATGTCCAAATCATCTTAATCTAATTTACCATCTTTAATAGGTGCTATCTTATCATCTCATGAATTTGCTCCTTTCCACCTCTATCCCTCCTAGGTTTAGCAAGATTTGCCCATAGCACTTTTATTTCAACCCTTATGATGAGCATCTGTGGACAATCCCAAGATTTTAATCATTTAGTTTGAATTAGCCCTCATTCATGGAGCCAAGTAGGTTATTAGGAAGAGGTGAGCAAATTTGTTTTAGAACTCAGCCGCCTGCCAAAACAGAACAAGCCATCATTCCCACATGCCAATAAACCAACTATTGCATTTTTAGGTTAGCAATTGAGTAATTTAAGTTTTATTTCTTGATGTGTAGGAATGATTGTAGGCCAACTTATGATTCAGGACGCTCTACAAGCATTCTAATCTCCCTTTTGATAAGGTTCATCAATTTATGAATTGCCTAGTACATGAGTGCCTTTTCCAAACATCAAGTTGCAATAATTTTCATGCCTCTGCAGTTAAGAGAATTTTGGGAATCTATGAGTTATGATGGCAGCTCCTGTATGTTGTGACGAAAGTTTTTGCATTAGAAATTTTTATGAATGCTCCGGCTGAACTTCACCAATGTGCTTGGTTAACATGACACTTAATATATTGAATACCATGACATCATTCACCTCAAACATTTCATTTTGTACTATTGGTTTTAGTCTCAAGTCATCTGTTTTCCTGTGCTGTGGGCTTTTGTTTCAACCTGCATTCTGTTGTTTTCAAATGATGTTCTAGTTTGTAGCTGTGGTTATTAAGTTGGTTAAGTTGTTTTTTGCGTCTACTCGAGAGGAAGGCGGAGAAGGGTGTAGAGCTTAATCCCTCACAATCTGATGAACTGCCCAAGGCCAATCCATTAGCCAGCTCTGAAATTCTTATAAGTTGCTCTTTGCAGAAATCGAATCTGATGGATTAAAAATTGGAATTGGTCGGATTGTGTTCCTGCCAGTAGGTAAATAAAGTAGCAAAACTAACTTATAAGCTAAACCAAATAGAGCCAAAATGTCTCACTCACCTGCAGGATGTGCATGTTTTGAGTTCTCTCCAAGGGTGTTTAGTAATTGGTTTTAACCAACTTCCAGACCAAACTGATTTTTGGATTTTTGGCTAATAGTTTTAGTTGCCCCAACACCCCCCCCCCCCCCCAGCGGCGCAAAAATTTTGGTTCTATTTGAGTTTTTTAATTTTGTGCTTTTATTTTCTTTTGTTCTGTTTGGTATAGAAGATTTTGTTTCTGAAATAACTAAATTAAACCATAATATTTCTATCAACTATATGAAATTAAAAATTATGAAAAGAAAATGAAAGTAACAAAAGAACTTTGTGAACAATCTTGTTTATTGATGGTCTAACTTCTACATGACAAAGGAACAAAAATGATTTAGAGAGCAAGAGAGGAAGATACAAGTGAAGTTCTTATATTTGAATAAAACAAAGATTTTCATTTCGAAGGAGGGTGAACAATGAGAAGCAATGGAAATAGGAGGAGATGATGTCTTCTTATTTATGCCCCTGTAAAGGGAAAAAAAAATAAAATAAAAAATAAATAAATAAATAAAAGAGCTTGTGATTTACCCAACTTTTGATAGATACCTTTGCTTCTACTTTATTGGAGACTGCCCACTAAGCTTACAATTGGGAACTTTCACTCCTTTTATTTCTGTGTATAATCTCCACTATTGATATTTGGCAAAAAATACCAGGTTTAACTTTTTAACTAGTATAATTGAATGCGATTTAGAAGTGATTTTAGTGAGCAATTGCCTAAATGGCATGCGCCTAGATGACGACTAGATATTGCCTTGCTTCACTTGGCTGAGCATCTGGGCAAGTTAGGTGAGGACCTTGTGACAACATTGTTTGAATGTATATCTGTATTAAAATAAATGTTCTTATTGATAAGGGCATTTTTGTCACTATACTGCAAGGACTCGACGTTTTGACTTACCCAGTTTCTTATTTCAGTTACTTGTAATATGTGCATTCATCTGTACTAATCATTTTTCTAAACTAGCACCAGCTCCGTGTTTCAACTCGATTTGGGGCTTCAATTTTCATGGAGGGCTGTGTAAGTGAGAGTGACTACTAGTTTTCCTTGAAGTTGAAAGTACCATTTTAAAGCCTTGCCTTGGCAAGGCAAAAATATAACTTCAGCCGCTTTATGGGGGTCCCATGATTGATGAGAAACTATAACATTCATTCAGAATTTTGTTCCTAACATAGAAAATTTGGATTTGGTGGATGTTTGATTTTGATCATTTGTCATGTCTCTGCATGTATGCATTCTTGGCATTGTATCATGAAACCAATGATCCTAAATTTTCTCCCTATAAATTGATAGTCCGAGAATTATGTTGAGGTTTACTCTTCTTTGGTTTTCGTGTGTATTGACCCTAATTTTTTTATTGAGGAAACATGCAAATTTAATAGGTTTAAGGGTGTGTTGGAATAAATCAAAAGAATTGGGGGTGTTTTGGTAAAGTTTGAAAAGTTTGGGGGCAAATTCAGGGATTTTGGGATGCAATTGGAAGAAATTAAAGAGAGGGGGCTCGGAATGGAAGGGTAAATAAGTTCAGGGACCAATATGGAAATTTGGGAGAGTTAATTGAAGAGAATGAAAGATGTTGGGGCCGGACTGTGAAGGGGAGAAAGAACCTTTGGCCAGAAATCGGCCGAAGGCTTTAGAAGCAAAATTTGCTCCAACTGGAGCAAGACAACTAATAAGATTTTGGGTATTTGTGTGTGGAAAAGGGATGATTTGGGAGGAGCGAACAATTTGAGTGTTTGAGTGAAAAAAAAGTTAGGAGTGAAGTTAAGGGAAAGTCGCAACACCGACAGCAAAATTTTGGGAAAATTGGAGTTTTCAAACAAAAACTCTCTGATTAAAGCTAGGAAAGCAGCTTAAGGAGCTCAGGATTTAAGTTGGTGACCTCTGATTTGAGCAGATAAGCTTGAATTTTTGGTTAATTTTGGGATTTTGGCTTTCAAGTGTTGTAGGGGATTTGGGTCGGGTTTCTACTTTGCCAAGTGAAGAAGACGAGACCCGGATGGGTCTAGGTCTTGTACAAGGTCGGCCCCGCCTATTGGGCTCGGGCTTGGCCCAGAGGAGTAGTAGGCCCGCGGGCCTGAGCCGTAGCCAGCCCAAACAATGGCTGGGCTGAGTCGACTCGCTAGGTCAATTAGCCTTGTGGGAAAAATGGGGGGTTTAGGCCGTTGAGCAGGGTAAATCGACTCGTGTTTACTAGAGAGTTGACTGGCTGGTTTAGGGCCTTTTAGGCTGATTCCTTGGGCGAATGGACCAGTTTCCGGTTCAGGGGGATAAGAGTTATCAGACCATATGGGTTTTGGGAATTTTGGATGACCAGTTCAGGGTGAACCAGGCAGTTTAGTGTGTCATTTCTGGGCAGCCGGTTCATCGGGTTTTGGGCCAGTTCATGGGGAGGTTGAACTGGTTCCTAGTTCAACATGATGAAACCTAACTAGCTGTAAAATTTGGTGATGTTTAGGTGTCTGGTTCGAGG